CGTCGGGAACGCCTCTCGATGTCGCGGCTGGACGATCTCGTCAAACATTGAGGAGGGAAACTCTACTTACGTATCCTCCTCCTCCTCCTCCTCCTCTTCCTCCTCCTCCTCCTCCTCCTGCTGCTCCTCCTCCTCTCATCCTGCTCCCCCTCCTCCTCTTCCGTCTCCTCCTCCTCCTCCTCCTCCTCTTCCTCCTCCTCCTCCTCCTCCTCCTCCTCCTCCTCCTCCTCCTCCGCTTCCTCCTCCTCCTATCCCCCTCTCCTCCCTTCCTCTCCTCTCCTCCTCCTCCTGCTCTCCTTCTTGCATCCTCCTCCTCCGCCTCCTCCTTCCCTCCTCCTCCTCCTCCTCCTCCTCCTCCTTCCTCCTCCTCCTCCTCCTCCTCCTCCTCCTCCTCCTCCTCCTCTTCCCCCTCCTTCTCCTCCTCATCATCCAGCACGTCTGTTCCGTCCAGAACGGCATGCAAGTGGTGCGGCCGACCCCGTCCCTCGCGAACTGCGCCAAGTAGAGGACGATGTGCTGAACAACATGTACTGTGGTCGACGGCGGCGAGGGGGACACTCAGCCACAGGTGGATTGGGCTCACTACCTTTACCGATGATGCTATCATTGTACACTCCGTCGCCATAATTATTCATGCGACGTTCGGTGATCTGATGAATGCTGATGCACTCGCCATATGGAAGGAACACGTGTTTGGGAAGCGGGTCGTTTTGTCAGGAGGGGGTCCACGGTGTGAGACACGGTCTGCCACTAGGTGGGCTGGGAGTTGCGGCCTGCACCCGCTACGGACGTAGTACGAGCATTGGCGGAAAGTTGCACGCACAACACGACAAATGGAACAGGCGTGACTTGGAAACGCGCTGCTAGGCGTGATGGTCACACTACCCGCTGCGCACCTCACAGTAGGCAGACGCTGTTGAATAGAACACCCGCAGCCATGTGATTGGCGTATCCAGACCGAGACATCCTTCAGATGCCCCCCTTAGCACGGTCAGTCGTCGAAGGCACCGATTCAGTTCGTGGCGTGGCGTGTCTCGGGCTTATACAATCGTCTGCTGGATACGGAGGGGAGACGCAGGTGTTCACGTTAATGAGAGGTCGTGGGATAGTGCTTGGCTACGGCGGAACTCGCAGAAAATAGAGGACCACAAAGATCAATACATACCCCGACCGACTGTGTAAGCGACTAGGCTATGCCATGGTCGATTGTGCAGACGATGAAGGAAGGAGGTTGCGGTGAAACGGTGCCTAAGGATGTGGGGAGAACCAAAGGATCCGTGACGCGTTTTACAACTCCCATGCCTCCTGGGATCCGTATCACGGGGAGGGCGAGGAATGGGTCCCAGATTTGGCGTCGCGCAGGTCTCGGGCTCGGCGGACCGATCCCGAAATAAGAAATATTTACCCGCACGAGCTGCCGAAACAGAGCAGTAGCGGAGCGGTGACGCCGTAGACCCCACTGCCACGCCTAGGCTGCCAGGAACACCTGAGGCTGACGAGGAGCAGGAATACTTTTTGAGGCCCTACCTTTTCTGGGCGAGCCACTGCCGGGGGTCCCAGGCTCGACACCCACGCCACCCCCCCCTCCTCCACAGTCTGCGCAGCAGTCAGACGATAGTAAGGTTCGATTCGCCCAGAAACGTGAGCAGGCACGCGCGCGTAGAGCTGTCAAGGCAGCTAGAGTACACCTCGCCGTCGCGCCGCCGTGGGCTGCAGATGCATCGTTCGGGCAGGGTCTGCTCGACAGGGCAAGCTAGCAACTCGGCAGTCAACTGCTGTGGAAGGTTCGCGTTTCCCAGTTTCTGCTTTGAGGCCATCGCTTCACCCCCCTCTCTCTTGCGGCTGCGCCTTTGCTGACGGATCGACGTGTACAGGTTCTTAGGACCCGCCAGCACCCCGCCCAGTCAGACGCATGCCTCTCTACTGCTTTCTTGCCAAAGGCCCACGCAAGCCCAGCCGGGGCTCATGGTGCATCCAAGAACGCACCACGCGTGCGAGGTCCCCCTTGAGCTGTACCGCGCCACCCCCCGCCACCAGACTTAGCAGCTCTCCCGCAACTGCCAGCCTGCCGCACGCCTCTCGAATGCTCTCCTGCCAGGGGGCCACGTGACCACCACCGGGGGCAATGGTGCACCCGATAGCGCATCACACGTGCGAGGCCCCCTTTTCCGAACGACCTGCGATGCCGCACCCGCAGGTTCCCTCGTCCGTCCGCCGGCGTGCCTCCGCCCCCAGCGCTGCATCTGATGCTGGGGTCCGCTCGGCGTGCTGATAATCGATGGTGTTTTCCTCCGCCGTCTGTGGATCGCGCCGTGGAAAGGGAAAGTGGACACCTCCACACGAACAGCTCAGCGAAGCATGCGCTACACCTCAGAGCTAATTCAAATACCCCGTGCCGTGGAAAGGGACAAGATAACTCGCCCCAGCCAGGCTAAAGACGGCAGTACGCATGCTCGAGATCGGCTGGTACCACAAAGGTTAAGGCAAGCCACTTTGGCTAGCAGGGTAGACTGTGCTGCAGTACTTCCTCTCTTGAGTCTCAGTGCGCAGATCGGTGTTTGTCCCGCCGCCGTCTCATTCTCGTGCCGTATGGGAAGAGTTCTCCCCGCCTCAGGCATGCGATGAGTGGCTGTGGATTGGCGCCCTTCCTTGCATGTCAAGGACCACTACAGAGAAACTGCCGAGGACCGCCTTTCCTTATTTTACAGTGGCTGTACTCTTCTCGTACTGTGCTGCACTTTCTGCCCTTTAACTGCGATAGACAGGAAAGTTTGCCCGCAACCTTGGTGTCCGAGCCGATGCAACGTCAAGGCATCAGCCCCTGCTTTATTTGGTGTTTCAGTGCCGACCTGTAACCTTACCCGCCAGTGGTTGAATCAGATGCGCAATCAAACAAAAAATCCCTCCCCCTCACCCTCACCCTCCTCCTCCTGCGATTCCTCCTCCATCCTGCCCTCCTTGGGTTTGACGGCTTCCCCAGCCTTGAACTCCACTGCATGCTCCTCCACGTCCCTGATCAGGGCAACTCGCCTGGGCATCGTTTCTGGATGGGCTGAAGGCTTTCGATATGTTCAATCAGAAAAGCTGGCTAAATATAATAGGTTCGCTCGCTTCAAACACCTGCGTTGAAGGCCAGGACTGTGGCCTATTTTTCGGGCCATAACTCGGACCTGCGTCAGCCGTTCGGGCTGATTATGCAGCCCTGGAACGGAGTCGGCGAGGCGCGGCTGCTGGATAGCACCCCGAGGCAGGAGACCCGCCGAGAATCGACAGACGCACCCGACAGCCTGGCGCCTCGAAAACCCGAGAACAGGAACAGTCCGCGCGAAGCCTGGGATCGCGCCCCGCGCGCCCGGCGGGACCATCTCTTCGGCCCCCCCGCCGCAACGGCGTCCTGCTATCGAATCGCCGCGCGGCGGGGTAGACCCGGGAGAGACGGCTCGCGTGGTGCTTCCGCGCAAGCTCGGGGCCGAGCTCCTCCAGGAACTTGGAGGCCTTCTCGGGGCGGCGCGGGCGAAAGGCAGGGACGGCAACAGGACGGGGTGCTCCCTCCTGCGGCCCCAGGTGCTCTCCCAAGAGTTTCCACCACCACGGCTGGGGGAGCACATAGCCCAATAGTTTTGCCGAACTCAGGCCCACCGTTTGGCCATGGAAGCGCCCCCGCAGAGGCAGGGGGCGGCAGTGGCTTGCGTCTTCCGCCTTCGACTAACAGAGATGTACATACGACTAGATTTTACATGTATGCATATATATACAAACCTTTATAAATATAACCATGACTGTATGTATGTATGTATGTATGTATGTATGTGTATAAATGTGTGTATGCATGTATGAATGCATGTATGCATGCATACATGTAGGCATGCGGTGATGAATGTATATATGTGTGTATGCGTGTACGTCTGTATGTATGTATGTATGCATGCATGTATGTATGTGTGTGCATGTGTGCGTGAACGTACGTACGTATGTATGCATGTATGTATACATATATCTGTACATGTATGGGTGTTTGTATGTATATGGGTATGCGTGTATGTATGTATGCATGTGTACGTGTATGTGTATGTGTATGTATATGTATGAAGTCATGCGTGTGTGTATGTGCTTAGGTATGGAACTATGTGTGCATGTATGTATGAGCCTGTATGTATGTATGCATGCATGTATGCATGTACGTCCGTGTGTATGCGTGTGTGTTGGGATGTATGTACGGATGGGTGGGTGTATGTTTGTGGGTATGTATGTACGCATCGACGTATGATGACTGTATGTACGTTGTTATGCCTGTATGGATGTATGAATGTATGTATGTATGTATGTATGTATGTATGTGTTTGTGTGCATGTGTATGTGTGTATGTGTGTATGCGTGTATGTGTGTACGTGTATGCATGCATGCATGCATGCATGCATGCATGCATGCATGCATGCATGTATGTCCGTATGTATGGATGCATGCATGAGTGTTTACATACATGCCAGTATGTAGTATGTATGTACGTGTGTAAATATGGATGCATGTATGGGTGTATGCATGTGTGTATGGAATAGTGTGTACGCATGTTTGTGCATATTGCATGTATGCGTGCATGCATGCATGCGTGTGTATGAATGTATTAATACAAACAAGAATACATGCACGCATCTCAGTAAACGTGCATGCATGTATGCATGTTTGTTTGTATGGACACATGCATGTAGGTATGCCGTGTGTGTGTGCATGTATGTGTGTACGATTATAAAGATGAGAAGCCATCCATGTACATGACTATCATATACTTAGACATAAGCGTACAACATAGCAAACCCACATACGTAAACATGTACATGTTCTATGTATATATGATCAGCTCTACACACAAGAACACAGAGAACACTGCGTCGGGCCCAAGGCCTTCCCCTCGTTGAACGAGACGACGTTGCACTGATGCAGCCCGAGGCCCCTGTTCTTCGGCATCTTGCAGCCGATCAGATAGAGGGTGCTGGCGTAGCCCCTCAGCATCGCCGCCAGCTCCGTGGCGAGCGCGGGGGAGTTCCCGAAGGGCGAAGGATAGCGGGCGATGCTCCGGGTACTTGTCGCCTGGGGAGGCAGAAGCGCGAGCGGCGCTTGCAATGCTCGGATTTGGACCCAGGCCTCCACCAGACCGAGTTCTTCGATCCCAGCGTCGTTCCTTCATTTCGGTCTGGGGGGCCGTTTTCTGGACCAGGGGCCATCAGATGATCCCAGCCACAAGACTGCCCACGGGAAGGGATCGGGCGCGCTGTGGCTGAGGATTGGAAAGCCGCGTCGTTGGATATGTGGGTAAGCCGCATGGGGAACCGATCGGTGTTCCAGGGCTCAAGGAGGCAGTAGATCTGGACATTCTGGGGCTCCAGGGATCCCAAAGATATCGACGTCCGTGGCCTCCTGGGGTCCCAGGGACATCGGTTCACCCAGCGGTGGATGTGCATAAATCCTGGCCTCAGAGATGCCGCTGCTTCCCAGACCTCTCCCAGGGGCGTGATATGACCAACTTTCACATGCGAACCTGACGTGGCGACGAGGGTCCCCTGGGAGGGCAAAAGACAGCGAGACTGAGGGAAAGGTATTGGCATCAGTACGCCCTTCTCCTGCCTGGATCCGCAACCCAAATATCGAAATAATCTCAACATCTATACCCAGACCCCTCCTGGGGTCCATCTTGGGCAGCTTGTCATCCTGGATCGAGTTCTGAAGGTCCTGGGGCCCTAGATGTGCCTTCGAAGGCCGAATAAGCAGAAAAATCTGATCGGACGTCGAACCTGACGGGAGACCCTGAGATCCGGCGACGGGCAAAAAAGTACAACATCGATGAAAATCACGACCATAGCCCCGTACTCCATCTTTCTGACGCCCTTTTCGAGCCGTATCTATCTGTGAGGGTCCCAGGG